ACCGACCTTACGTGAGAGCGGTAGTTCGCATCAGCACTTGAATGTTTTGATGAATAGCGGGCATATAGCGACGACCATTTTGTAAATCCGATACAGACGTGGGGCCGCATTCGTGTCTTGAGTATCAACACAAAGCAATCCATGCCTAAGCTTCGTATACTTTACTCGCCAAAAGTTATCGTGCGTCTTTATAATTTTAAACGATTTTATCGTGTAATAATCCAAGATGGCCGCTATACAACAGACGTATTGATTATGGACGTCGATTTTCTTTACTACATGTCTAACACTTATGTAAAAACTGCAACACTATTTCGTCACCCGACTTTATTATTTAGAATCTAATTAGTTCAAGAACGACAATCGGAATGAATAACTTTAGTCCGGTCATGCAGCAAGATGTAAGCGCACTAAAACCCTTTGATGTACCGCCACTCGAGCGGTGACTTGTACGCAGCCCGAACATTCACGATGATAGCCGATAACGTACAAAGCTTCGTAACACGTATGCAACCCCATTTGAGATCAAGTGCCTGTAGTATACACGGCACGGAGAAGTCAAAGGAACACGTTGGAAATGGAACTAATTTTTAACCGAATAAAACATCTTGTATATTTGATTTACAAATAAACCAGCGGTCTTTGAACGGTTCTTTGACTCCATTTCAGCAGTTAACTGGTTTATTTGAAAAAATAATTATACACCATTGTAGATGGTAGCAGTAGAGCTCCTTGTGGAAGTGTTTGTCCAGGATAGTACTGCCACTTTACCTATTCCTGCCGCAGAGCGGTAATTGAGCATTACTGCGTTCCGGTTTTGAAGGTGAAATTACAGGCAAATGGTACTTTTAACTCTTGTTTCAGGGTAACAGGCGCAGCGGCAGTACCCCTCGGATCTTTGCGATTTAAAGCTCTGTGCGGCACTGCAACTGCTACGGACTGGCGTTTAACACCAAGCGCCATAAAATGCCACGCCAATAGATTTAAAAACACAGTATCATTTCCGAAATACTGTTAACTACCGAAGCATAGATCTTCTCGGTTTTGCTTAGGTAGATAATGGGCTTATGATATGCGGAGCGGAGCCAAATCCCTTTGATAGAAAAAGAACCCTATCACCAATAGTCGATGTAATAATTTTTTTAACACATTTGCATCTAAAAGTATGATCAGCTAGTGATATGAATCTACAATAACTTTGTCAAAATATGTTATTTCGTATGTTTTTCTTTTGGATATGATTCAGTTGTAGATTTGAACTATTTATTTTTAGGGTTAATACAACAGCTGCCATTTTTATGCGGCAAATGCTTTTTCAAATTTTGAAAAAATACATAACACTTCTGGTGCGTTCGCAGATTCACGGTCATGCGACAACAATACATGTTCTCCTTGCTATAAACAATGCATTTGGGTAACTTTCGTGATATTTTCATCTATAGATATTTTCTTCTTTAAAAAATGTCAATTACGCAGATTTAACAATAAAAGTGAAGCAAAATATAAAAACCGATTAGAGGAGGTTATTGACCTCGTTTTGCTAATTCCAGATATGCTAATGACTCAATTTCGTTAAAATGTCGATTACGTTGTTTATGATAAGGGGGTCTACTCCCGTCTCGCCCGAAACAATTATTGTGAAATAAGTAATATTCGAATAAATTAAAAAACGCCTGATGCAATTTTTTTTTCAATTTAATATACAATAGACACACGCTTGGCCACAATCTCACCTGATGTTAAGAGACGATGAGAGGGCGTTTGCCTAAAAAATATCTATTCCCTCTAGCCTTGAATAGCCCCAAATTGTACTTTTTGGGAAATTCAGATACGTAGAGCATTCCATTCCTTTGCATTCCATTTGAATAGGTGGAATATGAACGACATACTCGTAAGAATGGAGTGCTCAGGACCTTCTAGTCGACCGAAGGAGGAACGGTGAGGGCGGAACCAAGTTGAAAAGTTCCTGCGCACACTCCCCGAAATGTATTCGATAGAAAACCGCCAAGCAGGCTACTTTTCTGCGATGGTCGAGATTTTGAAGCTTCGATTCCACAAGAGAATTATTGTTAATAAGTCTCATTGCTTTTCGCTCCACCGAGTCCAAGGCAGCTAACTGGTAATGGGCAGAGCCGTCCCAAAGGTGGCAGCAGTACTCCATACAGGATTGAACTTGTGCTTTATCCGCTCACGCTATACATGCAGCCGTAGACGCATACCACACCTAGAGGTGCCGGTGATGATTTTATACCGCTTTATCGGATATCGAAGTTATAACATGTAAAAGAACTAATATTAATTGCTATTTCGGTAACTACTGTAGCAAACCATAAAGTTTTTAATGCCTGGGTCTGTCATTTAAAAAAAATAAACAACTTCAAAAATACGTCACGACAATCGTGTGTGTTATTGTTTGGGCTGTTGATTTCGGTGTTTATTTATTGAAAACATACCGTAAGTAGCATTTTTTAAGTTTACCCTGAATATAAATGTTTATAAACTATACTTTAAGCAGTAATTTCATGGTAAACGTTAGAACCACTCATACGGAATATTATCATATTTATCCAAGTACACCAAAAATTTCATTAGTGCTTTTTAAGTGCAGGATTTGCGGTGTATTACTGCATTTTATTTGAGATGTTTTTGTTGGTAGTACGGAGGGTATTTATTTAGCAATACACAATAATATTTTTTTTTTTAATAAAAACTTGTATTTAAACTGAATGCTTTTCTCATTTGCGAAACCAAATAGCCGCCATTTTGCGGTAGAAGGAGCACATCGCGTGAGCGGCTAAACAGATTCAAAAGCTGTTCAGGTGTGAAGTACCGACCTTGTAAAGTGTGCCTAGTTTTCTGGCAGCAGTTTTTGCCAAGCACTCGATGTATCGCCCAAAGTTGAGGTTCATACTTAATTATTGTTTTTTTAACTTAGTCGAGTATTACTTATGTGACAATAATTGTTTCGGACGAATATCGGTCGAAGAACGAGAGTAGATAGACCCTAAGGACCGCAGAACTTGAGTTCAATTTTGGATTCTTATACAAAAAGTTATTACACAGTGCATACAGGAAAATTATAACTGATAAATAAGCAAGAAACATATTTGACATAAAACATGGCTACCATTATAAACCCGTCAGGTAAAGATATACAAAGCGAAGTTAAAGGATATAAAAGATAGAGATTCAAGTTAGTCTGAAACTTAGCCACTTTAGTTAGTGTTCTTTTATAAGTACTATATTAAAACAGATTCGCCACAACACCGACACATCAAATCTAAAACACATTTCAATCAATTGACTAATAATTAATTAGCAATAATTTTAAGCAATTTTCTCCTTTTAATGATTTTCATTGTAGATAAATAAAATGAAATAAGGGAATCACCACACGTATTCGCGGAATCGGCTCGAGCCGAAAAATATTTGTCTATGCATTAAGAGCGAAAAAGACGTTGAGCTTTTCACTTCCGCTCGTACCGCCAACGCAACGTCTTTATCTCTGTTACTACATGATACATATTTTTTACCGAGTGACGGGAGGAACAAGTCGTGCGGTGGAAAATGACACGCCTATCCATAACAGTTGCAGTGCCACTTAGAGCTGTTAATCGAAAAGATCTTAGGGGCACTGCCGCTGCGCCCGTCACCTTGAGACATAAGTTAACAAGTCCCACGTGCCGTTAATTTTACCAGCATCCTTACCCTTCCAAACCGGAACGCAGTAATTAGAGCGTTTTCTTGCCGGCTTGGTATGGTATGGTTTGGTGTAACGGGCTGGTCTCCGCATATCGACGTCTACGCGCCCACTTTAAATGTGGTAGGTGGAGTATTAGCATTCATACTCCAGGAAAACTTCGGAAGCGACTTTGGCACTCCGAGAAATTTCTGATTTCGTGGTGACCCACTAGCAAGCAATAAAAAAATTATGTATAATTTTGTACGAAAATTTTTTTTTTAAATCATCATTTGTTATAATGATGCTTTTAATTTTTAAATTGCAAAATTGCTATCGTAACTATTTGCCAATCGATCGAAATGCAACAATTACGGGATTGTTAAAAGTTAATCATAGCACATCAATAATTATTTTAAAAATCGTTTTTTTTTCTCTATTGAAGCGTTATTTGTCCCCATATCTTTATAATATCCTCCTATTCAAATTTAAACAAAATCTCATTACTTAAACTCTAGTGTAAATTTTAATAATCTATATCTACAATCTTTCATTATACAATCAACTCTAACAATACATTTTATATACATTTATCTCAGTGGTGTAACTACGAATAATTAAGATTTACGTAATTTAAACAAAAAAAAATCAAATTACATAAAAAGAATCTTAGGTATAGTTATGAATTATAATTTTCATTTAATACGAAATTCGTGAACTAATTATCAAAATTCATCAAGTTCAAAGCTCCGGAATGATACCTACTTAAATCAAAGACAATTTTGTCAGTATTCTATATCATCGCCGTTTTCAAAGTTACACTCTAACGCTAATTACTTTTAATTTGGTTTTCCATTTCTCATTAAACCACTAAAGGTATATAAATTATCTTAATATACTTTCTATAAATAATTAAAAATATTTACTTATAAGTAATAATGAATTTTAATTCATTTATTTTCTAAAAATTTTATTTACAATTTGGCCTCTACAGATACTTGACAATATTAGGCCACTATTTTTCATAAATACACACATTTTCGCACAAATCGTTACACTATCGTACATATTTAAAAACCAACAAAATTTAACATTTAAAATAATAAAAAATTTAATTTAAAACCTATTAATCTCATAAACAGCATCCCAAAAAACAACTAGTTCGTCTTTGCACATTCATAACGGTCATTCACTAAACATTTTTAACTATTACTCAGTCACTATTATTAACTTTGGGAATAAGTACATAAAATTTCGTTGATATTAAACTAGGCCTCTATACGGCTGTCACATCACTAGTATTACTGAGATTTGGCGATATTCAAAGACTTGCCAAATCTGATGCTCTTCTAGATGGAATAGGTACCCTCAACTGAGCTGATCCCCTTCTATCTAACCGGTCCATCGCATCTAAATCCGAAGGTCTCCTTCTACAACTACAGAACGCGCAAGCTAAAGTATTCTTAAACGCATTACGAAAGTCTCTGTTGAAATATGCATAAATGATTGGATTTAACGCAGAATTAAAATACCCAGTCCAAAACATAATCACAGTCACTACTTCTGGGTAAGTGCACGTATCACAAAGAGATGTAGACAAGTAGAAAAGGAAGAACGGCAACCAGCAGAGGATAAAGGCACCCATTATAATGCCTAGAGTCCTTGCCGCTTTATGTTCTCTTTTCATCTTCAATATATTTTTGTCTTTAGTAGGAGTATTTGCATTTATGTGCAAAGCACCATTTTTATCGCTCACTTCTCTTGAGTGTCTATGCATGAGCATGGCATTACCAGCTCTGGCATGTAAGGCCTTTTCCTGGCGATTTGCTTCTTTGAATATAGCGAGGTAGGTAAATATCATAATCGTACATGGTATCCAGAATGATATTGAACTGGATATAACTGCGTATGGTTTGTTAACTTTAAATTCACAGACTGTATCGTTCTTTTCTCGCTCAAGCATGTGTTCGTTGGTTGTGTACCACCCCATGAAGATTGGCGCGTAGGATATGGTAATGGGGCTAAGCCATGTCGCTGCTAACATAACGAACGCCATCTGAAAAAAGAATGATATTAAAATAATGAAGACTGAAGCCGTCACCCTGGAATGAGTTTCACATCGGATGAACGATTATTTAAAATAAATACGGGACCAGGTCTTTAATGGGCTTCATATGACCTTATTCGTAATAATTCTCAATAATATCGTATATTCATCTAAACAAAGTAATAAATAAAAATAAATTAATTTACGCGTGAACTTTAATATCAGGCGGGGATAAGAAGTAGCTCAGGAAAATGGCGAGGTGGCGAGGCGCCGGTAATATTCTGCTACGGCTAGCGTAATATAAAAGTACTAACACAAATGAGTCTCAATATTGCTACAGCACATTACGAAGGTAAAATTATAAAACAATTAATTGCTAAATACATACATTATACCCAGAGCAATACCATACATTAGTTTTTTACAGATGGTGTGAAAAGAGAAAATAGGACAGTCTTGCACAGGCTGTGGAAGATTTGTAAATGGCATATTTGAATCAACCCGAAGTATGAACCAGATAACAAACTAGTAACGTGGTTATAATGTAATACCCATAAAATAAGTACCCGTATGCAATTAACGCTTTTCAGTTGGAAGAGTAAAGGGAGGTGGAGAGACGAAAGCTAAAATTAAAAAAACTGTGTTACTTTCAAATATCTTAACATTGTAAAATGTAAATCTTGAGTAAAACGTTCTGTAACTTTAGCTGGTTATAAAGTTAGACAAATTTAATCAAATACTTCTCAATTGAGCGGTTGGTTGAATTTTGTAAAGCCTTTGATATCTTCGATGAACAACGTTTGGATAATAAAGTTTAAAACCAGTTTTGTTAAAAAGCAAACATAATTATGTTATCGTTGCGATAAAAAAAATCATTGAATTATTGGTCCTATGGTTGCAACAAAACTGTAATTGCAAATTTGGAAATAAATCCACACGGACATGTATGATTCTGATTGTTAAACTGCTTAAATAGCCACAGGTACAAAGACATTATTGCATTTATACATATTTTACCCCTCTGAAGGGATGTGCGAATCCTCTATTTAAACTAGTTCTGTTAATAAAACTCTTATAATGATCATTTCATCATTATTATCATTTTCAGCACATTATACGTCCAATGACTTGGCATGGATTTCGTCTATGGACGGGGTTTAGGCCAAAGTCCTAAAAGGCCCAATAGGGATGCGGACTTCACAGAACTTCCAATTACTGAACCTTTTTTGACGAGCAGGTTTCATTTTCACCGTTAACAGGAGATAATGCTACTAAATATTCAGAAATGTAGGCAAAGTAAATTAATTTCATGAGTCACCGTACTTCCACTAGTACGCGTCATATTATATTGTCTACTAAACGTCCATCGACGTCATTTACTTTCAAATACTTTTCCGATACGGAATCTTGTCTTCTGTCCTCAAAAAACAAACTTTGTGGAATATTTTGATGTAATTAAGTACTTTAAATGGCAATGTTTGCGTTAAGAATGTACTGTTTTATCTCATTGTTTGAAAATTCGTATTCATATAGTAGATTTAATTTTGTTACGATTTTTTGGAGGTTTCTTGAATACACGAGAAATAATACCAAAACGCCCTAAAGATACACTGGGAATGTAAATGTTGCCGTATGTAAAATGAATGTTAAGATATAAAAGAAAATAAAGAAAGAAAAGAGGTAGAAGACACAATTAATACAGAAAAACATAAATCTAAAAAAGAATTCTAAAAGACAGCGCACAAAATAAAATACTACTATTAACTACAACATTAAATGAAAAAATACACACCCTCTTTGTCATCTTTATAGGATATTTCAAGGGCTTCACAATAGCATAATATCGATCCACCGATATACAGCACAGATGTAATATAGATGTGGACGTAAAGTACACATCTGAGGAGTTCCACAAGTCACAGATGGTGCTGCCGAAGATCCACCCGTTGTAGAACTGGACACTGAAGTTGAATGGCATCACTGCCATTGCGACTAGAATGTCGGCAAATGCCAGTGAGACAACGAAGTAATTCGTAATGACACGGAGTTTTCTGTAAAAGAAGAGAGCTTTTTAAAATTTTGAAAGAATTCAATGTAGTAATTGGATGTATTTTTTGTTAAATCAAGGCTATATACCTTGCACGAAGCCATTGAGGAAATTAATAATGATCTCCGTCATATTTCGACGTGGAGTAAACAATTTGGTCTTAAACTAAATGCAACGAAAACACAAATGATTGTTATTGGCAGCTCTAGAATGGTATCCAAGATAGATTCGTTTCGCTTGCCGCAGGTTATTATAGATGACGCCTACATTAAAATTAGTGACAATGGAAAAAATCTGGGTATACTCATTGATAGGCAGCTATCTTGGGCACCTCAATTAGTTGAGACCAGCCGCAAATTGTTTGCGTCTGCCGCATCTCTCAGACGGTTACGTAATTTCTTACCTATTGCCACGAAAATTGCGCTTGCCCAAAGTCTTCTTCTTCTAATTCTTGATTATGCTGATGCCTGCTATCTGGATTTAACCGAAGAACAGCTCAACAAGCTCGAACGTCTACAAAACTTTTGCATCCGTTTCGTTTTTGATCAGAGGAAATTTGATCATATTTCCATTTATCGCAAGGAGCTAAATTGGTTACCCATTAGACTTCGCCGGCATGCTCATATTCTTAATCTTCTTTATGGCATCTTATTCATTCCTTACACACCACCTTATCTTAAGGAGCGATTTGAATTCGCCCATCAATCCAACCCCCGACTTCTGCGCTTTTCTTCAACTCTCCAACTTAAGATGCCATTGCATACCTCCCAGTATTACGACAAGTCCTTTACTGTTCAGGCTATTCGTTTGTGGAACGCTTCAACAAGCGAAATCATTGAATATATCATTGACTTACAATTATATGGACGTCGGGTCCGCGCTAAAAAGTGTCCGCACTTGTAAGGCGCTAAAATCGTATACAGAGCGCGACACTCCGCTTTAGTCTTCATTTGTTCTACGGACAGCGCGATACTGCGATGACATAACAATTTAAATTTCGAATAGGTTGACTTGGGACATTTTTTTCGTGGTTTTTGTATTAGACCCGTCGTCCATTTATTTGTAAGTCAATGGAATATATTCAAAAATATGGTAAAAGAACACTAACTAACTTCAGTGTGACTTGGACTGCTTAGGTATTTTTATGTTTTGAAATTATGTTTTAGAAATTTTATATTTATAGGTATAAGAATATATAGTAGTTTACGGTATTCATATATATGTATTGGTTTTATTATTTATTTATAAATATATGTATATTAGCATTTATTTATCAATTTTTATCTATTGATTAGTAATTCTTCATACACCGCCGTCTTTTTCCTGTGAATTATATAACTACTTCCATCCAAAGTAGTCTGGCAGAAATCGCTTAAAGCGATAAGACCGCCCATTGTACCACCGCTTATTTTTTATTTAATTGTATTGCATTTGTTTCCTTTTTTGGTGTACAATAAAGAATTTTTGTATTGTATTGTATTGTATAAACTGCTATGGACAGGCGTGTCGCTTTCCACCAGGCACACGAGTTGTTCATCCAGTCACTTGGTATCATAATAATAGTAATAAAAAACAATTAAATTGAATGTTAACAGTGTTCCATGAAATGGCTTCTTCTAGTAAATACAATCCAATACTCTTTGATTTAATTTTAAGCGCAATCTTTACCATTTTTATGTTCTTCTTCTTCAAGTTTTAGTTATCCACTGCTGGGTGTAGGCCTCCTCATTTGCATGTCATTCACTCCGGTCTTAGGCTATTTACAATTACAATGTGACTACTTTATAAATGAGTTGTTCGATTGTATACAGGTACATACATATCATCACTTCTGTCTTCCATCGAAGTAGGCAGAGACTATAAACCTCCACCTTGTTGTGCTCCTGATAAACCTGCTTCGCCTCCTCCACTCCAATCTCTTCATACAGCCCGTTGTTCTTGGTATTTTAACCCTTTTTTCAAGTACATCCTCTACCTCTCTACCTCTCCTCACGCCTCCATCTACATTCGCACTATAAATTTGTACCGTCAGTATATTATATCATTCACTCTTTCTACATGATCAAACCATCGAAGCATCTCTATCCTGATCACTATATTATCTTTCATACCACAACGCTCTCTTAATAAATGTTCGGCATTCCGCCTTTAAAAATAACACCGCACATTGTTCGATTTTGGAAGTATCAATTAATTGATAAAACAAACCTGTGCCTCATAACACTGACGATGACGAGTAGGTTCCCCAGCACCGCCATGATGACAATAAGAAGTAGTATAGACGTTCGTAGTTTGAACGCGACTGTCTGCGTCCAGTCTTCATCTTGAACGGCTGTCCCGTTGGTGGTGTGGCTGCCGTTGGTTGCGTTTACTTGATCCATAAGGGGCGGTCTGGGAAGATAAGAAGATCGTTCAAACATTAGTATGAAGTTTTACAAAACTCTTTTACGAGAAAAGTTGAAGTCCTCAATCGGCAATGTATCATCTGTTGAACATATTTAGGTAAAAAAGGACAAAGGTATAAAAGATAAAAAAGTTTAGTTTTAAATAATAATAATAAATATAACGCATACACCCATAGGCCCGTAATAGGGGAACCCTGTGTTGCGGGTGCCATAGACACACACACATATAGACATCTACAAATTACACCCAAACTTATTTGAGAAATAAATTTAAGCCGTACAAATATTTATCCGCCCGGGACCACTGCGTGGCAGTCCAGCATGATAATCATTCAGCCACAGTGGTAGTATAAGTAAGTGTAAATTAATATCAGCAAAAATAAAAATTATTTCATATTTACACATAAAAATGGTGTTGAAGATGCACATAATGCAAAAGGTTAACTTACGTACAGAGTCGTTACAATTTTAGAGTTATGTTTTTAAGTGCATCATTAAATTTACGGCTTAACAACGTACTTAATTATTTTAAAGAGAAAATTTAAAACGTGTACATATTTTCAATGCTAAAATAAGCTAAAATAATCTCACCTTTATCTCGCTTGCCTTATTTTCGTTTCATAAACTTTTTCATGTCTGAAAACTGCACATTTGTAATTTCTAGCTTCACGTTGCATTATTACCAGGCTACTGCGAACATTGTTTTAGGAATAACTTTATTTTTTTCTTCTTCACGGTTTCTGATCTGCTTTGACTGTGTGCAACCAGCATCTTCACTTACGATCTCATTGTTTGTTGAAGTCTCGCATTATTACCGCTGCATCTGAAACAAGCAAAATATGTACATGAATTTGTTGTTTTTTGTGTTCTGTTTTATGATAGCATGTGTAGACCAATAAATGACGCAAGAGGACTGCTATTCTCCATACTACAGATAGTTACTCTGAAAAAAGTCTAAATTCCATCGTATATCAAGTTAGGGCTGACCAATAGCCTGGAAAAAATTTTATATTATAATATATATGGCCATGGCATCGAGTCTACAACCAGAAATAGAGACGAAATAAGGACCATCCATCCCTGGCCACTCATCAGTCAAATGGTACTGATATCACTATTAAATTAACTCTCGATTGCGCTGAAATCACAAATTAGAAAGCTGAAATAGTACAGCGCCAACAACTGATGTCTCCGTATATTTCAAAAATATTCTGTATTTATCATTGACTTACAAATAAATGGACGACGGGTCTAATACAAAAACCACGAAAAATATGTCCCAAGTCAACCTATTCGAAATTTAAATTGTAATGTCATCGCAATATCGCGCTGTCAGTCGAACAAATGAAGACTAAAGCGGAGTTTGGCGCTCTGTATACGATTTTAGCGCCTTACAAGTGCGGACACTTTTTAGCGCGGACCCGACGTCCATATAATTGTAAGTCAATGGTATTTATATAATAAAGATAATATCTCTAACTATGGGAGACTGTTCCATTCGGTGATGTGGGAAAAACAACAAACCATCTAATTACAAAACAAACGGAATCACATTACAACTAAATATTAAATTATGTAATTTTTCATTTTTCGTCTAGTATAGCAAAGCTCAAGTTGAACTGGTCGTTTGATGTGAAATAATTGACGACACTCGTCAATTGTTTCGAATTCGGGCTGGCCAATTGGACCGCAGCTGTCACCGTAATGATATGGCAGAATAGTTTTCAAACAAATATAATGACATTTCGTCTCTATTTCTCCATAATAGAAAATATAAATAGTCAGTGTTTTGTAATATAATTAAAATGTTCATTGTTTAATTAATTTATAAACATAATAGTAGAAAATTTAAAACAACCTGTCCAACAATGGGACATGTTGTTAATATCCATATAGACAAAGAAGTTAGATCCATATACTAACTGAGCATATCAATTTGATAGGGAGTCAATTATGCTAACGATGGTAGATTTTTTGTCATTTTTAGAAAAGCGCGCTATAGCTCTTGAAGAAAGTGGAGATACAGCTACAAAAGATTGTGCGTATAAGCAATGTTGTCACTAAAACTAATTTTCTGTTTATTTTACAAAGGTACCAACCATGCTTTACATGGTTGCTCTCGTTTCAAAATGGCTGCTATGGAAGACCGTCACCAATTTGTTTTAAATAATAAATTGTGTTCAAAATGTCTAAAGTCACATCCCGGAAAGTTCAAGTTTAACTTTACATGCAAAATCTGCAAAGCAGAGCACAATAAGGTTCTACGTAAATGTGAAGTGCCGAATATTGAGCAACTAACTCTCCATTCTAGCAATGTATCAAACAATGTGCTATTGCCTATTTTAAGAGTTAGATTGCTTGACTGTCGTGGTCGTGAGTTCCATGTCCGTGCATTGCTGGACAGTGGAAGCTAGGCATCATTCGTCACTACAGAACTTGTAAAAAAGTTATATTTAAAAACATTTAGCGAAAATTCGAATGTAGTAGGTATTGGCTATAAAAACAGTCAAATTAACAAATATGTTAATGTAAACATTCATACAGTCAATCCAGTACCATTAAGTGTTAAATGTAATGTCATTGATACAATAACAACTCCGCTTCCACAGCAATTAAAAATTTATTCAAAATTAATTTACCTATGAATATCATTATTTCAGACAGTGAATTTAACATTCCAACTGAAAGTTTCAATGTTGTTAGGTGCCGAGACATATTTCAATATTTTAATTGTTGGACATATTAAATTATCAAACGGTCTGGTACCTATTACAAAATACATTGTTTGGCTATACTATTGGCGGAGGAGGAGTCTCTAATTTTGCAACTTGCGACAGTGCTAAGTTGGAGGATGTTATGGAGCAATTTTGGCTATCTGAAAGGATTCCTGAAACTATGGTCAAAGTCTCTAATGAGTTTCAAAAGGCAGAACAATGTTTTCAGAAATCATTTAAGCTTAAAAATAGTCATTTTTATATGGACATGCCTCTAGTTTCAGATATTAATGAGTTGCATCTCGGAGATTCCTCACAGTGGCCCTGCAAAGATTTTTATCATTGGAGAAGAGATTTAAACAAGATAAATTATATTTTCATCAATATAAAAAGTTTATTGAGGAATACATCGCTTTAGGACATGCCAAAGAAGTCAATTTAGATACTTATGCCATATTCAATGGTCCTGTTTATTTTCTTGCTCATCATGGAGTAATTAATGAAAGTAGTATAACAACCAAGTTACGTGTGGTTTTTGATGGTGGAATGTTATCTAAAGCGAATCTACATTTACACCCTCATTTGTGATATACAAAAAATGTTCAGATCTTGCTTTATTAATGAACATCAAACCTGTCTTCAAAATATTCTTTGGAGGAATAGTCCTAACAAACCGTTGATCTGCTTACAATTGCAGACTGTCACTTACGGCTTAAAAGCTTCAACCTTTTTGGCTACTCGCTGGTTCATTGAGCTCGCGTTCCGTCATCAAGACAAGTACCCTCTTGCTGCACAAGATATTCTCCTAAACACATACGTGGATGACATTATAAGTGGATCAGATGACATAGAGCGACTTGCAGAGCTTAAAAATCAACTGATAGAGCTATTAGGAATTGCTAGTTTTAAATTACATAAGTGGTGTGCAAATGAACCTACAGTTTTAGATAATATTCCCGATGAACACAAATACTTTGATAAAATTGATATTAATAAAAATAATATCGTAAAAACTTATGGTTTAAAATGTGATGTTTCACATTCACCTATACATGTCCGACTATAGACGACAAAAACAAATTAAACACAAAGCGCAATATTTTGAGTTTTATAGGAAAAATTTTTGATCCTATTGGCCTAATAGGTCCGGTAATTGTTGTTGCCAAAATTTTTATGCAAAAGCTGTGGTCTATGAAGATTGATTGGGATACTATATTGCCCCAAGAACAGCTTGATGTTTGGAATAAATTCTTGGATAACCTAGCTATGATGGGTACACTGACAATTCCAAGATGCGTGAATTCTGTTTCAATGACCTCTATGGAGCTTGTTGGTTTTGCAGACGCTTCCTTAAAAGCTTTTGGCTGCTGTCTATATGTACGCATATTTCATAATGACAATACAATCTCTATGAATTTGTTATGTTTTAAGTCTATTGTTAGCGCAATTAACACATCGTGTTCACAATACTTTAAAATCATGATTTAACACTTTAAAGACATTTTTATATAGTGACTCCAAAGTAGTACTCGTCTGGATAAAATCTAAAAATATTAAATCAAATCCCTATGTTTCAAATAGAGTAAATCAAATTTGTAATTTAACTAATGAATTTGTTTGGTCAATGTCACAACTCACAATAACTCAGCAGATCTACTTTCTAGAGGAGTGGATCCACACAAATTTAAGTCAAACCTACTATGGTGGCATGGCGCTCAGGAAATGTCCAACGGTAATTACAAACACCCTTTAACCTGGCCAATAGCAAGAATTGTGAGGACCATCCCTGGACCAGACGGTAGAGTAAGGGTTGCCAAAATTAAAATGAACAATAAAATCATTCAGAAAACTTTGTCCATTGCCTCTTGATTCTTATACACGATACATTTATACAGGGCTAAATTAAAATGTATATGGCCCGCCCCAACTATGTTTAATTAATTTATAAACATAAAAGTAGAAGTAGTAGAATTTTCAAAATGTTATTGACAATAATTAGATTTTATTGTGTTAGCAACATTTTTAGAATTGTCTCTCTTCCAATTTGGCTGTACTCGATGCTGGTGTCTTTATTTTATCTATTTCACAAAATACAGTCCAGTGCTCAATTTTATGCTTGCATTTTTATTTCTACATTCACCATGAACTAAAATTATTTTCTGAACTTTGACAAATATGCGAATCAATAGAGATGGCATTGTGTGTTACAAAATAATCTATAAATCAACGCTTGCTATCATGGGTAGATGGCGCTAATCTTAAATAAAATAAACAATAGCCGGCAGTACCTATCTAAAAAATCATTGTAATAAGCGCCATCTAGTTGACTTGTTTGTTATCACTAGAAATTAGACTAGCTTTGATAAATTGCAGCTCGTCAATGTAAAACAAATTAATAAGAAAAATAGTTATTTAGTACACGTCGCTACATCTAGTGTACCAACAGGTATTAGAAAGAAAGAAAGGAAAGAAAGAAACCGATGCACGAAGAAGTCGTGCACCTTGTAGTAAGCGACAGGCGTGTCCACATCAGATGCAGTGCCACTCAGAGCTTTACGAGTACATCGCAAAGATATGAGGGCCACTACACGTGCACTCGCCCGTTACCTTGAGAGGTAAGCTCCAAATATGTAAACTGACAGTACTTCCCTGGACGAACTCTTTCGCAAGGAGACCTACTGCTATTAAACTTGTCTTACAATCATTGCTGTTACAATAATCTCTTGAACCACGTATTGAGCATTAAACGACTATTAATAGAATAATAATTTTTCAAAAATTTTGAAAACGAATAATATGAATTGAGTATATTTGTTTTTTTTTCAAAAACTAACATATCGGGCGCTTTAACAGGTCCCGTGGTCAAGGCTGAATGAGATGGTAAATTTATCAACCAGTTATGTTTATTGATTTTATTGAATACGTACCATGATGTTTTACCATCATGATAGCTTTATATTTCTTCTAAAATTACTCCA